ACACACACACACACACTCTCTCCCCACCATGTGTATTTTTGGATCAACCAAAATAATTCAGATACTTGATTAAATCTGCAAGAACTCTTTTATCCAAAGAAAGTAACAATGACAGGTTCTGGGGGTTAGGGAACAAGTATATCTTCTTTGTCACCCACCATTTGACACACTTTGCTCTCTATGGAATTCCAGAAAATAGAACCAGCAGAGGGTTATTATTTGTTTATTTAAAACAACTACATTCTTTTTACAAAGAGGTATTACTATGAAACTATGGAAAAATGCCTGAAGGTTTTGCAAACCACCAAAACAGAAATTCAAATTGTAAGTAACGTAAGTTACTCCCTTTCATTATTTAAAGATGGATGAGTTACATAGCAAATTAAACACTACTGAGATCAGCAGTTTACAAACTACTAATAACTTCTTATAAATTATTCAGAGATTGAAAGGTTAAGAGATATAAAGGTTATGAAATGTTATATATATATATATATGCATATATATTTAATGGGAGTTTCAGAAGGAAATAACTGAGTGGGTAAGAAGAGAGGTAATGTGCACACATATGTATAATGAAATATGATTATAATTCAATAAAAAATTTTAAGAACTGTTGAAGTATATAAATCCTTATATTCAGGAGTCATAATGAGCTTTATGTAGAGTGAATAAAAGTTAACTCACACCTAGATAGGACACAATGGTGCTACAACATATCATAAAAATAAAATACACTAAGAACAACAAGAGAGCAATTTTAATTATCTAGAAAGGAAGACCAGTAAGTCAAAAACAATATTCCCAAAAGAAACAAAAAGGAAAAGGCAATAGGTAACTCTATGCAGACTGAAAATTGGCTTTTCTTCATTATTTATATAGTTTTTCTTTATTAGAATTTAAAGCATAAGTTTTCTCAGACTTTCTTACAGAATTGCAGATGGGTTTCAGACTTCACCAATTTAAGTGGCCTCATATTTCACTTGGATTTAACCCCAGTGAGTGGAGTAGAAGGCCATTAGAAGGTTCCAGAAGCACAGCTGAGTCAACAGTTCCAGAGGTGGTTTCCTGATTCTTGCATGCAACTAAGATATTGGGATCCTAGAACCAAAGGTTAGGATGAAAATTTCCTGATTCTAGCAAAGGTGAAATTTCACTTTGTGTTCCTGGTCTGAAGTATAATTCTAGAAATCATTTTCAAGGGCCCATCTAGAGCTTGATTGTCTAGGATGTTCAATAATTTTATATTTATTTCCTCATATTAAACATTCTTCTGCAATTTTAAGTTATCTAAAACCAAAACTTTTTTTTATCTTTACCTTCCTGAAAAAGTACTTGGTACCAAATTTGGTTGTAGGTAACAGACTCTCAAGGATGGGAAATTGATTGGTCCTCTGACATGGCTGGCCTAAATGCAAGTCTCTTTTTCCAGTATAGAGCTATGTATGATTAGTTCATGTTGCCCAGTGTTGAAAGTATTACTACAACATTTATTAAAAAATATTCAACTCTAACAAATTAGATGCCAGCTTCCATAGCACACTGTGATAACTTAACCAAATTGAAAGATTACAAAGCATTATTTTCAATGATATGGAATAGCATAAAAATTTTAAACAAAACAGAGTC